TGTAAACAAGTTAGATACATATTTTCACTTGTTTTGTATCTCAAACCATTTTAATAGATAAAATCAAGTATTTGTTTGGTCTCTTTGAGCTATAATTGGTTAAGGAAACTTCATGTGTTTAAGCCAATGATTTCGTTAGTGGAATTTGGAGATAATATCAAGTGACCATGAGTTTTATATTTTCTTTTCGTCGCCATGAAAACATAGCATTAGTTTTGGGTTTTGGCAAGAATCATTGTTGTGAGAGCATGAATTTTATTACATGGTAAAAGTAATCCAAAGCATGAATTGTTATAAACTTTATCGTTCTCCAAATTATATATTTGTAAGTTTCTTTTAGATACTTGTTGGCATGCACCATGTGAGATTTATTCTGTGATAGAAAAGCTTTGAAAGTTAGTTTCTACTCTAATTGATATGCATATATGTTGTGTTGAGAAGGTTTTCAAAAGTGTTTTGTTTATCGTTGGAGGTTGTTTTATATTAGAAGATTTTCAAGAATGGTTTTATACTAGAAAGATTTTGTCAAGTATTTTGCATCGAAAAGCTTTATCAATCTAAAACATACATCTAAATCAAATCTAACTAATCTAATAATAAACCCATAACCAATCTAAAGCTTAAAAGCTGTAGACTAAAATTAGGAGACTAAATATAAACTAAAATTTCTTAGGATAAAAGACTTCTAAAGATCAAACCTTAGACTAACCTTTTAAAATCAATAAACAAACCCCCTAATACATAACAACCACTCCGAAGATGAAGTTTATTGGATTGACTACTCCGAGCTGCGGGGCTAAGTGTCCTAAGGAGGCCTGGTTCCTCGAGCCTGGTGGCACAACGCCACGAATGGATTTAATGGGGTGTTAAAATCTAAAACTAATTTCTTAATTAGTTTAAGTCAAACCTTAATCGGTAATAAATCATTCAATCTACCTTTTTCTTTTAATTTACAACCAACGAAATAATCAATCAAATCCTAAAATACAATCTCTAAAATCAATCTTAAAGTATTAAGATTTAAATTTCAATTAAAATTTCTCTTTTGGCCTTTTAACAAATAAAATACAAATAATTTCAACTAAATCATCCTACATAGGATCTATCCAAAACTGCACAGCCTACGCACACCTTAGACTTGTTTGGTTAGGACAAGACTTTTTAGCTCTAGGCTAGGCTTATATTTTCTCTTGTTATTCAATATTTGCTACATGTACATGTTCTATAAATGCAATTCTTAAATTTTCTATTAGTTATATTTTTGTTATTTACCTGCATTTCTTTTCTGAACAGCATCTACGCTCATATATATATTTCTATATTATCTTTTCTTACGAGGTACATTGGAGCTTAATGATCGGGAACTAAATTGGACCATTTGCTTATAAACTTTTAAGTGGCAGCGCCACATGCAGTCAGGTATAATCTCTGCAATTTATAAAACGAATTCTTTTAATTAGATATCGAAATTGCTACACATCACACACGACTTGTTAATAGATATTCTAACATGTTTAGGTAGCTAGCCTTAGGGTAGTTCACTAGCGAAGCTTTGGCCCTATAGGTTAAAGCTTACCCCTCTTTTGTGAACCCTAGAGACCATTAGGGTCATTTAGGCCTGTAGAGTAGGTCACCTATTTGTGCCAGTTGGCATCGTTGTTTTCCCACACGAAGTGGGCATCGTTGTTTTTCTGCTAGGATTTTGGCCTTTTCTGGTTTTGGGTATGATACCCCCCCCACACCTTCTGTGAGTCCTAGAGACCATTAGGGTCATTTAGGCCTGTAGAGTAGGCCACATATTTGTGTCATTGGACATCGTTGTTTTCCTACACAAAGTGGGCATTATTATGATGATTTTCTGTGCGGGTATCTTGCCTGAAGGATACCCTTAGGGTGTGTTTATTTATTTTTTCTGTACTCTGGATGTCATGCATACGTTCTTACACACTTTTCTCCACAATGCACTTTACCTACATACATGCATTGCATTAGTGGACCTAAGGATATTTCTTATTTATGCATCTTTTCATGCATCATACAACGCTAGATCTATTTCTTTGCATATTGTAGAGTCCTTGATTTAAGTCTTTTTGAACTACAAATCCTTGATTCATTAGGATAGAGCCTACCCATCTTGCATACATATAAGATGGTTGGTTGTGCTTAAGATTTTAGCTGGCTTCCTTTTTCAGGCAAGGAATAAGTCCAGATTGCATTAGCTAGGTCGTAGGTGTTAATATCGTATATACGATGTTACATCTTTTATAGATTTAGGGTCTAAAGGCTAGTGGTACGAGTGTGCCACTATATGCCTTATTGGTGGGTAAGTCTTCCTTTCTTTCGGAGGCTATAAATCCTGCTCATCTGCGTTACATGGATGACGCCACCTCCTTCCTTCTCTCGTGCATGTTTGAGTGCAATATCTTCTCTCTTTTTCTCCAGTTTCTACTTCTTCGAGCTGACCGAATGTTGACTGAACCACGTGTGATTTGATTGAGCCAATTTGGGACATTCCCCTTTGATTAGGAAAGCCTAGAAATTCCTTCGCACTAAACCCATTCGAGAAGATAATCTAACATCCTTAATCGAGAGTTTTCCTAAGTCAAGGCTTAGGATGTAATTAACCACGGGGGCTTGCGCCCGCAGGAAACCGATCCCTACAATCAAATAAACCTCATTCGAGCTGATGCATCGAATGGGGGAAATCTCGTGAACTTTTGGGTTATAGATATTATTATCCATCGAGGTTGGTAGGTGAAAGCCGCTATCCTCCATGGCTAATCGTATCTATAACTCCATATGCTCTTTCATCAGCCTGCTTGTGTCAGGTGTAAAGGCCTATGACCATTTTGTCCTACGGGATAGTGTGATCGTACCCTTTACATTCGAACCACACGAGCGGAATCCTTTCGGAGACCCACAATGTTGTTGGACGACGTGGTTGAAAGAATATAGTTGACGGATGACATAGGTCCAAGGAACTGTAGTCTAATAATCATAGTCGGAGGACCATAATTGGGAGAAGGTGGTCAAAGTACCATAGTCAACACGCGATGAAGATTGGAAGGATTGTAGTCAGACGATGGTGGCCGGGGGTCTATAGTCAGGCGAAGATTGTTCGAGCACCGTTGTGGGCGAGCGACAAAGGTCAATGAATATGTTAACGAGACAGTGTAGTCATGTGATGGTGATTGAAAGCTAGATCGTAGTTGGGCGTAGATGATATGAAGACCATAATCTGGTGACGATGGTCCGAGGGCCTTAGTTTGGCGATGGTGGTGTGAGGACCGTATTCGTTGGCAGTCTACGGCTTGAAGGCTATATCGGTGCTCTGGGATCTTCAGAGTCCCAAAGCTCTCTAGAATCACAAAAGAGAGTTAAGCTTGCAACTTCCCCTATATAGAGTTTGGAATAGCATTTCTTAATTTTTTTTTCTTTTTTTTTTACATTTCTTAATTTTTTCTTCTTTTCCTCTGTGCTTCGCCGCTTAGTCTATCGTCTATCCTAAGGCATCGATGTCAGATATCAACATAATATAAATCTAATTCATTTTTCTGCTTGTCTTTTAAGATAAATACATTTAATCTGATTTTACAATGAAAATTAATTTTATATTATTCTTTATCATTCATATTATATTTACAGTCATATTTTTTGGTCAATTTGAAATTTATAAATTTAAATGCAAAAAAATTAATTGCTCTTTTTATTATTATTATTATTTTGTTAGAAAATAAGTTTTATATTTCTTATTTGATGCTCTATTTATCTTACTTATTTTACATTCTATTTATATAACTTCTTTGATAATCAATTTATATTACTTATGAAATTTCTATCATATTTAATTAGTTTTAATATTATATTAATTCATATATCAAATTTCAATTAGAAGAATTGTTCAAATATACATTTTTTATCTTGATATTATAATTTTTTCTCCAACATTATTTCATTATCATTCTTAAATGAAATTATCATGTGCAATTTTAATTATTCTTGTAAATTTTTTTTTTTTTTTTAATTTAGAAAAGTGTTATTTGTTTTTTTTTTTTTTTTTTTTATTCTTGTGCACTTCATGCCTGAGCAATTATACTAGTTATTATTCAAGCCTTAAAATTATGATCAAATTAAGAGAAGATAGGAAATGATTTATATACAAGAGAAGATTAAAATAAAAAGAAAATGAACTCTTCAAATTTTGAGAGAATAAACATTGAGTTGTATTCAAATGGTTCTCTTTCAAAACAACCTAATAATAGCAGACATAGACAATGAAACGAAACTAATTTAATAACAAAAAGCTGGCTAATTAATTGATTAACTTTGAGACAAAACAAGCATATCTAATGAGTCAAAATTAAAAAAATAACTCACCGAGACTTAGGGTGGTTGGTGGGCGACCACGGTTGGAACCCTCCAACCCGGTTTTGAATCCCCTCCTCTTCAGTGGGGCAAAAGCAAGTGTGGACCCGATACCGGTGGGTGGCTACTCTAAATTCCGCCGAGAGATTAATTATGTCGCAAGCGCTCCCTTTGGAGTGTCAGCGGGTAGATACTCGTGTTCTAAAAAAAACAAAAACAAAAATAAAAACAAGATATACTACGAAAACGTCCGTGTCTTTGATTTGTCAGATTAGCCCCTCAAAATGACTGATCGTTTCTGTATAGTTAAATTAAGATAAATTTCGCCACATCACTCCATTTACAGCTCAAAATGAAGACGTCAATCTGTCTTTGATATATAATCTAATATATTAAATTTTAATTTATATGAAAAGATTGATCCAAATAGTTTTCACAGATCTTAACAAAATAATTAAATAGTGAATTACCGTTCATGTAATGCTTGCAGTCTCCTTGATCGTGACATGGACTGATGGACTCTCTCTAAAATAAAAGTCAATGATTTGAATCTTTCTAGCAGCTGCATCCTTCAAACTCTGATTCCTCCATTTGGCACTTTCACCCTCCGATTTTGTTTGTTGATGCTGCACATGTTGAAGCATTCTTGATGAGATTTGTGATAACTTTGCTAAATGAAAGTTTAATTTATAAATCCCTGACCTCAAGTCAGGGCATAGATGGAAGCAGGGACAATGAAAAACTCTTCTTCATCTCCCTTATTCGTTCAACTAGGTGCCCTAATACTCTTCTTTCTACTCTCTCTCCTCCGATCGCCGGTAACGGCGAGTGCTGAAATAGGATTCATGTCCCCTGAGCTTGCCGCCTTCAAGGCCCGTTGGCTCATGGCCAAAAACAACTGGGGCATCCTTAGGTAAAATATTCTGTTTGATTTTTGGATTTAAAGTTCATATTTTCAAACTACATTTCATTCATTTATGGATTTTTTTTTTCCCTTTTGCAGCACAATCTCAGTTGATCTTGGAGGAGCTCCATTTGGGTAGTTTATACACATTCTTCTTCTATAACAATGTATTTCTAATGGATCATTGCATCTTATTATGTGAGGTTTTTTTGACAAAAAAGTATTACAAATATAAACTATTTCATTGTAACATAAGTTTTGTTTCTATATGGATATTGTATTGATGGATCTTGTTACTCTTGGTGCAAAGGAATGTGGTTTCATTTAGTGATGGCGAACCCGGGCATGGATTTGGGGTCCCCTACTTCTATTTAGCAAAACTGGAACCTAAAGGAGGATATGAAATAAATGGAACTAGGGCTGCCTTAACTGTAAGTGAGGATCCACTCGGAACTTGTAGAAAAGATGCTCAAAACCCTAATTGTAGTAGGATTTCTCTCACTGGGAAGGTATGTATAAATATTAATACAATAGACAATTGTACAGTCTACATGGTTTGCAATTAACCAGTTCACTTGCTCTTCTATGATGATTATTTTTCTTTCTTTTTTCGTTAATGGAAAAAAATTTTTGATAGAAATTGCTGACCTGATATACTAGAGCTTATAAGATGTTAGAAATTAGAACCATATCAATGGGTGTGCCACCTGCTTACAAACAAGTTTTTACGAAAAATTTAACATAATCAAGAGTAGAAAAGAAGCAGAATGCTCGTTGCACCACTTATAATCTTTTGTAGTTCACTGCTATCAAGTCTAATGAACCTACCCAGTAAAGAATTATTTAATCATGTGATATTTAAAAACTATTTAATGTTGGCAGAACATGATTTTAGTCCTTTTATAAGGAAAATTGTTTGGTATTTTACACAAAATTTATAATTATTTGCAATCTAGCTATTATGCTTTACTTGAATAACTAAATTTGATTGAACTTTATATGCTGACAGTTAAAATGGATCAGCTTGGAAAATCCTGAAATTAAGTTTGCCCAAGTTGCCCTGTTTACAAAGCACCCTGAGATGAAAGGTAGTTATCCAACGAAATTAAATAATTTAAATATTCACACTTCCAATACTCTTCTTCTCATTTACTAATGGTGGTTGCAGATTGGCAAAGCTATCGGAGCTTTCAAATATACAAACTAGACCTTGAAGACATTTTTCTCTTCTATTTGTTTGGTAGCCCCATGCATCTGACTCCAAAAGACTACCTGAAGGTTCCTCCAATATAAGCGAAGGAAGCAGTTTCCGCTATAAGACTTGCATTTTTCAGGATTATTTGTTAAGATAAAATAATAAATGCTCAACCCCTAGCATGTTACTCTGGTGTTGGCCTTGATAGGCTTTGAGTTGAACCTATTTAAACATATTACAGAAATAAAAGTATATGTTTTGAAGATGCACTTTCAAGATTGGCATCTTCACTTGCATAGAGCATGTCAAATCAATTTTAATAAATAATTCAGTGGCATGTACATATTTTCTTGTAGTCTAGATGTGCTAAATATTTTTCACATAGCATGATCACCAATTTGGCAATTTTTTATGAGATTCAAATTTACTTGGAGAAAGTTCAAGAGATATTTTAGTTTATTTGATTTTGATTAATGGACTTCTTACCATAAAAGCTGGCACAATTTTAGATGTCGAGCTTATAAGCATGGAAACTAGCCCAAGTTGTTATTTGATAACCATGCATCGTTGTTCCCACATTTGCCAAAGATTAGGAATTAAACTTGATTACACGGCATAGATGGTTTGGTGTCAGCCCAATTAATTGAGTTAGGGTTTACATCCTTAGGAATGCGCATGAATAGTACTTACAATCTAAAGGAGAAAAGCCTAGTGGCAATTCAATCTCGAGAGTGACAAAGGAATGAGATTGAAACATACAACCTCGAAGGTGGGTAAAGTCTATAAATAGAACTTATAATCTCAAGAGCAAGAAAAGTCTGTAAGTGACACTTAAAGCCTTGAGAACAACAAAAGCCCAAAAGTGGTTTTTACGGACTTGTAAACGTAAGGTAGCCCAATTAAATAAATTAGTTGGATGGACTTGTTGGCTCCATGTTGAACCAATTAACTGAGTAAACCGGTTCGATAAATAAGGTTGAGGCTTGCATCCAAATAAAGGCTAGGGTGGGGCTTGCAACCTCAAGGGCAAGGGAATCTCAAATTTCAAATATAAGGCATAATATGAAATATCATTATATACTTTGATAATGATATTACAAAGTTCCGGTGAACCGAGACTTATAGCCTTAGATTTGAGCAAATCCAATATAGGTCCTATTGTTTTTGGCTTTAGAGTGACATATATAAAAGGGCCTTACAATCTTGTCCTATAGACATGGTGGTCTAATTAATTGGGAGTTATCAACTTGAGTGCCAAAAAGTCCATAATTTACCTTATAGCTTTGATGCAATGCATACTTTAGCATGCATATCAGAATGATGAATCACAAGGACCCCTAGATCAACTAGAAATCAACAGTCGGACCCGAGTTCTTGACATATATGCTTAATCAATAGGGTTAACATTGTATACAATTAAATTGAGGTCTTGGGATTATAATGAAAATTTTGCTACAAAATGGGTAACCTTTTCCACAAAAAGAGAATTACATAAACAAAACTCTTGACAACCACAACAAGCATTAAAAATTTCATCAATGCAAAGTTGTGGCACAGCACGCAATTAAAATTGAGAAAACACATACCTTTAATATATCATTCACTTTATGGCAAGAAGGAATGCAGGGTGCTGGCCAGTTTTACAAAGAGAAAACGGTATATCAAATGAAAAGCAGAGAGCAACAGAAGATGGCCTGCAGAATGTAATGCCTTCCTATCATCAAACTAATCAAGCTTCCACCAAGGCTTGGAAACTCTCTCATCCATCAAATTTTCACATCCATCAGAAGCGCTCTCATCTCTCGAATCTATGTCTTCCCACTCGCTCCCATTGCATTTGCTCTCTTTAGGTTCCAACTCTGGTAGATACCGCCACTCCAATTTCCTAAGCAAATCCTTGTCATTCCACTTCAGCACAGCTGAAGCCGCGTTCTTCCTTGCCTTCCCGGAAACTACCTCCTTCCAAGAGAAAGAAGCATCAGCGCATCTCTTAAGCGCCCCATTCCCGTCATCCCCCATCACCACCGTCTTCAAGCACCTCATCCTTGCCTCCCTGATAACTCCCATAAACCCAGTGTCATCTGAAACCAAAACCAAGCAGCCAACTCTTCGCCTATCCATAGTCTCCACCATGTGCTCCTTCAGCGCCCGATCGGCTGCTCCCGGCCGATCCTCCACAATCCTTACGGAAACGCCAGCACGCTGGAGCTCGTCTCCGAAGCCATACCCGACCCTAGGTATCAGAATCTCCCTCGCCACTTTCCTGTATTTGTCCATCTTTAAATTGAGCTGGGCTTTCAGGCGGACATAGCGGCCACCGGTGGCGGAGTCAAGTCGGCGGAGGCGCTTCGCATGCTCGCGCTCGTGCATTTTGAAGTGATTGAGGAGCCTAGAATGGACGAAAAAATTGCGACCGCAAACGCGGCAGATGTAGTGGTCGGAAGGGACCGACTCCTCTAGCCGAGAGGTACCGACGGGGGCGGGGACGTGCCGGAATTCTTGGGGGGTGGCGTAAGCGGCGACGAAGCGGAGGGGACCGAGGGAGGAGGCGGCAAGGCGGAGGCGAACAGCGGCGTCGTAGGCACGGATAGATTTTGGGGGCTTGTTGTCGAGATCCCAGAAGACGGCAACGGGAGGTGCGCCAGCACGGGAGTCGACTGATGAGGAGGAGGTTACTAGGGTTCTGTGGTGAGAGCACGAGAAAAGGAAACGGGAGAATGGGCGGTCGATTCGCCGGAAAAGTGGAAGCATTCCTCGGAGTGAGAGGAGCAGCTCTTTCTCTCTCCCCTTTATATCTCTAAGGGGCTGTTTGTCAACAAGTGGATTTAATTTTAGTGGGATTTAGTAAATCTTTTAAATTCAGATTTAGTAAATTCGAAATGTGTTAAATCCTGATAACTATTTGGTATGCCAAATGTTAAATCCTGTTAAATCCTGAGAAACTGTTTGGTAACATATTTCAGGATTTATAACAGTTAGGGATTTAAATGTGAAAAATATAATTATAACTTAAAAATAAATTTATAATTAAAAATAAAAAATATAATGTGTTATAAATTTAATAATATGTTAAGTACAAATTACTCATTAATTTTTGATCGGAAGCAAGAACGGGAGCTCGCTGGCTGTGAAGGTAACTTTCTCCTTTCGCGCGCTTCTTCGGATAAATCCCGCTCGGATTTACTAAATCCGGCTACCCCTCGGATTTACTAAATCCCGGATTTAAGCTGTAAATCCGTAAATCCGGGATTTACTGAATCCCGGGATTTAACACGCGCACAAAAACTGTTTGGCTGGATTTAGCGTAAATCCGACTTAAATCCCGCTGTAAATCCGATACCAAACAGCCCCTAAGCTTTCGTTTGGGATGTCTTCTTCTGCTTGTGAGCTTTCAGTAAATAATTGTTCTAAAAAATTGTGAGCTTTCAGTAAATAAATTGTAAGGAAATTATTCTAAATAAAGCCTCATTTTTATGTAAGCTGAATGATTAAATTGTAATTGAAATAAAGAATATGCCTTGTACATTAAAGTGCTAAAATTTTAAGAAAAATCATTGTTATCATCAAGGAGGCTAAGAAGCTTATTTTTTAAAATATTCTAATTAAACATGGCCCAAAAAGATCTCATTTAAGCACTAACATAGATAAGGGGGGATTGTGGGGTCATTGACCTCTCCACCATTAAAAGAATATACATATATATATATGCCCTAAACCCTAAACACCGGGTGGGGGGGTCAGGAATCCTGGGGCATGGCTCAGTTTGAAAGAATCCACTAATGTTTCTAGTAAATTGGAAGAATCATTATTGACATGTTTGTTTAATCAGTATGACCATAGTCGGTGGGCGACAGAGGTCTAAAAGATCGTAGTCGGGTTACAGTGGTCAGAAGGATTATATTCAGCGGGCGACGGAGGTCAAAAAGACAGTAGTGTCGTAGTCTAGCGACGGAAGAACCGTAGTCGATGGGCGATAATGATTGACAGACCGTTGTTTGGTGGCAAAGGTTAGAAGGACCGTAGTTGGCAAGTAACGAAGGTTTGAAGGATTGTTGTGATGCAGAGCATCTTAGTTACATTGTTCTTTAGGTATATGCTAATTAGTTTGTTATAAGTTTCTAGAACTTTCTAGGTTTCTCTAGGTGCCTTTTGCTAGCTTATAAATATAATAGTTGTATGAAGGAATTAGATATGAATGAATATTTTTGGATTTTAAAACAGCTGGGCTGTTTTGGTCTCTTAGGGCTGTTTAGCCCTTCTTCTTCTTCCCCATCATGCTTCTTTGGTGATTCTCCCCACATCAGATGGTATCAGAGCGAGGTATGACCCTTGACGTCGATCAGGGCCCTGGGTTGCTGCTACATCTACCCTTGACGTCGATCGGGGTTTTGGATGCTTGGGGAAGGGCATGTATGAAGCTAGGCTGTCGACGACGTTCGAAACCTCCACCAGCCGGCAACCATACCGGCGAATCTACACATCCCGCTAGCAACCATACCAGCGATTCCATCGTCTGGCAATCATACCAGCGAATCTCTCTCCAACGGCAATCATAACGTCGGAGATCTCCACGCACGATTTCCCCGTCCGCGACCTTGGCCGCGTTCCTCGCAATCGACTCGTCGACCTGCAATCTGTGCCCGTGCTTGTCCAGTTAAAGCGAACGGCCATGCCCGCCGTTCACGCCGCTCGCGACAGTAGGAATCCGCCCATTCCCGCGCCCATCCACACCGGCGTTTTCCTTCCCGCTCGCGCTCGCTTCCGCTCCAGCACGCGATTTTCCCCTCAGATCCACCCACACAGAGCCCCCGCTTTCTCTCGCAACCAGATCCTCGCCATCTCTGTCCCCAACGACCAGATCCATCTCGTCGGATAGCTTCTCGTGCGGTACAATCGTGTCCTGAAACCTGTTGATACGCCTCCCGTTCCCGTCTCACGCACGAGTCCGACCATTGTCCACACTCGTCCGCGTATCCGCCATCTCTCTCATCAGCCTCATCGAGGAATTCCATTACTGTATCGATATCGTCTATTTCGACGAAGAGGTTTTCACCTTCCGATCTGACCCCAAGCTTTTCTTCCGATTGACCCCCAGCATGTGTTGCAGAAGTTGAACCTTTATCTACTCTAAGCAAAATAGCTATGCCGATGACTCGTGGTTCCAAGTTGGTGCTGCAGTGCTTGAGCTTTTCCAGAGTTTCGTCAACATATTGATGGCATGAATGCGCATAAATGGTTGCTAACAAATTTTGATTTCTCCTTGCTTTGGGTGACGGACTGAAGTGCTCTTATTCAAACCCTATCCGCTATTCCAGAATTTCTTGAAAATAAGGCATCTCAATCGAATGCAGTTGTTGATTTCAAAGATTAGCAAATTCCTTTAGAAGGCAGTTTCAGATCATTAAAGTTATGGATGGCCAGGAAAATCTGCAAAATTACATCCAGAACCACATAAACCTTGCCAAACAATTTGAACTACTTGTCAAGTATGATTCTAAGTTTGAGGTTATGGCCCCTCGGACATTCTGATCACTTGTTTGTTTCCGCCTTATCCCTCCTCCAAATCATCAAGACACTGACTATAAGCAGAACTACATCTTAAAGGATTATATCAACACAAGTGGAAAGATCTTCATATCCCACACTGTCCTGTCAGGGATGTTTGTTTTGCGGCTTGTTGTAGGAGCTCCATTGGCAGAAGAAAAACATGTTAAAGCAGTTTGGAAGCTTTGGCGCGGTTTAAAGTTTGTAGATCAAAATTCATCTGCATCCTCCATTTCAAGAACAGCAGCAGCAGCTTCCTCTTCCTATCTCCAACATATGGATACAGATTCCTTTCCACTGGCTGGAAATTGTAGAAAACAAAGGTATATAATCCCAAGCTCAGGATTTCTGCCGCCAGCTTGACTACCTACTGAGATTAATAGTTCCGGATTCTTCAGACAAGGGGAGAATGATGCAGAGCATCTTAGTTACATTGTTCTTTAGGTATATGCTAATTAGTTTGTTATAAGTTTCTAGAACTTTCTAGGTTTCTCTAGGTGCCTTTTGCTAGCTTATAAATATAATAGTTGTATGAAGGAATTAGATATGAATGAATATTTTTGGATTTTAAAACAGCTGGGCTGTTTTGGTCTCTTAGGGCTGTTTAGCCCTTCTTCTTCTTCCCCATCATGCTTCTTTGGTGATTCTCCCCACATCATGTTGTCTGACGACGGAGGTTAGAAGGACCGTAATAGACAGGCGACGAATGTCGGAAGGACCGTGGTCTGACGACAGAGGTTAGAAAGATCGTAGTCTGACGATGGAGGTCAGAAAGACCAAAGTCGACGGACGACATTTGTTAGAAAGACCATTGTCTTGTGATGGAGGTCGGAATGACCATTATTGGCAGACGACATAGGTCAGAAAGACCATTATCTGGCGACGAAGGTCAGAACGACCATAGTCGGCAGGCTATAGAGGTTGGAAAGATAGTAGTCGGTGGACGATAGTGGTTAGAAAGGTCGTTGTCTGGCGACGGAGGTAGGAAAGAGCGTTGATAGTATGTGGCCGAGTATAAATCCAATGTTAGTTGGTGGCTAGGCGTAAGCCCAATGACAGTTGGTGATTGGGCAGAAGTCTAGGGAAAGTCTGGAGATGGTTGGTGGACAGATAGAAGTCTGATGTCAATCGGTGGCCGGGCGGAAGTTTGCCAATTGTCCGGCAAAGGTTGGTGGTCCGATGGTGGTCAAGGAGGAGTTTGATGACAATATAATTATTATTTCTCTCTCTTCCTTATGTTCCTTCTCTTCCTTGTGTGGCTTCCCTTTCCATGAGGAATAAGGGGGGTCTATTTATAATTTTATGAGAGTGGTATTACAAGTAAATAAAAGGTAGATCAAGGGTATGTTAAGAGTAGTTTGAATGGACGACCAATATTATCTCCTTGATTGTAGATTGTTTACTGCCATTTGAATGTCTTAATGATATTAGAATTTAACCATCTTTGGCTTGTTGGATTGGTCTTGTTGAGCTGTTCGATTCGATTATAAGCATGTCACATTTGAAAATCATTTTATTATCCAATTATTAGTTTGAACTTTTAAAAGTAGCTTTGGGTCTTCAATTTAGACTCATTTGGGCTTGTATTGAGTCGAATTTGATGTCGTTGAGTTCTTCTTATCAAGACGTTCAATTTGACCGTAAGTTTACTGAAATCTAAGTTCAAATGATCCCAAATTTAATTTAGGAAGTTTTCAACTTAATTTTGCCTCAAGATTCGTGCCTGATTAAGATAATTTTTTTATGATATATATATATATATATATATATATATATATATATATATCAACATATTAATTTAAAATTCAGACATATTTAATTTCAAAATAATTAATAAAATAAAAATAAAAGTAAAAAAGAATTTAAGCAAAAAAAAATTATTGTATATTTGATCAAGATTAAATTAAAGTTATTGGATAGAAGAGCGGCATCTCGGGCTTCACTATAATTTTCTTACGTGCACAAAATATATTAATTGTCATTCGAGTAACAAAACATAAATACATCGAAAAACATCTCGTTCGCATAATCATCGCCATCACATTTGTTTAGTAAAAAAATTAATGAGCAATTTATCATTAGGTGGTCTTTTGGCCAATTTAACTTTAACATTCAATACTTATTCTTTTTAAGAGAATCTAAATGGACTTGCCTATAATCCAATGAATTTTGTGTCGTTATGTTTGTATTTCCGAGACGCTCAGTTTGACAATAAGTTTGTTGAAATCGGAGTTTAGATGCTCCCGAATTTAATTTTGAAGTTTCCGACTTGATTTTGCATTGAGATTCGCGCCCGATTAAGATAATTTTTTCGAGGATATATCATACTTAAATTTTATCTGGTACGGTATTCTTGTTGCTTCTTAAAGCAATTTTCTAGTATAAAAACTAATTTTTTGTACTAAAAATTTGTTTTAAAAAACAACATAAAAATTATTCCAAATAAACCCTTATTTGATGTATCATTAATTTGCTTCATTCAACTAATTGGACTTTGATCTTTTCATTATTCATTATATAGTATATGAATATTGATGTATTCAGGAGAAGATAAGCCTTATAAATACAAGAACAAGAATAATATTATTTGGTTCAAATAAAGATGAGATTATGTTCGAACAAAGGGAAAAAAAATTAGGCTTGTTTGTAACATTATCCTGACTGATAACAAAATAGGTAAAAATAAAATTCATATCAGATTAGATCAATGGTTTGAAATTTGTTTGAATATTGTTTGATGTTCAAATAAGGCTGGATATATCATCAAAAATTTATCTTGATCAAGCATGAATCTCGAAGCGAATTTGAGCTCGAAACTTCCAAAACTAAATCTGGGATCATCTGAACTCCTATTTCAGCAAATTTATAGTCGAACAAAACATCTCAAATAGATGAACCCAACGACATCAAATTCGACCCAATCCGAGTCCAAATGGGTCCAAATCAAAGACCCAAAGCACATTTGGAAGGTTCATAACATAAATTGAATGATAAATTTTTTTCAAATGTGACATACTTATAGTCAAATCGAGCGACTCGTTGAGAAGAATCCAATGAACCCAAGATTGCAAAACTCTGATATCATTAAGATACTCAAATGCTCAATAAATGTTGCACAGTCAAGGGAGTCGATATCGGCGGTCCATTCAAAACACTTCCAACTTGCCCTTGATCTTCTCCCATATTTATTGGTCATACAACTCTCGAAAAATTATAAATAGATCTCTCATTTTTCATCGATGAGGACCTAATAAAGAAAGAGAAGGAAGAGAGATAAATCAAAATTATCTTGCCACAAAATTCCTCCTCGGCCCCCGCTAGACCACCAACTGTCATCAGACTATCGTTGGACTTGGATTATCGTCGGACTTCTGCTCGGCCATGAATTGTCATTGTCTTCTGCCCAACCACTAGCTATCGCTGGACTTCTGTCTGGCCACCAACAAACACCGGATTTTCACCCATCCATCAAACACCGAATTTAGCACAACAGGAGGATATTTATCTCCCACAGAATCTACCGTAAATTGGAGACGTCTAACTTAAGCAATTTCAAACAGTACCCCCTCTCCCATTATTAAAGATGCATCCCCCATCACATCAAGACAACAAACATGCTGACACAACAAGCTCTATCCATCCTTCTTGCACAGGTCAACCACCCCGCATTCCTGCAATTGTCTTCGAAGACTTGATTCAACCTCGCGTTGCTGATCTCCCACACAATACTTTACGTCATGAATTAAGATGACTGGATCAACAAGAGTTCCCAATGAGTGGTGGAAGGTGATCTCTTCATCAGTAGAATTTTCAGGAGTCACCACCTTTGATTGAAATCATCCTTCAACATCCCATTCTGGCGAGCTTCAAATTATCAAACATAGATTCTTACAATGAGACATCTGATCCTTATGAACATATCGATAACTATATACCATCTGCATATCTAGCGAGCCTCAAATGCGCTTATCTACCAAGTTTTTCTATCTACCCTCAAAGGGAAAGCTCAAACATGATTATGTTCACTTCATGTCGGAACTATTCCCACATTCATCAAGTTGGCAAAGGTGTACTTCAAACAATTTTTTGTTAATCGAATAATTATTAAGAATTCTTCCCATATCTATGGGATTCACCAGAATGAAAAAGAATCACGTAACGAGTACTTTCAATGATTCTCCATTGAGGCTCGACAAATTTCAGGGGTAGATCATAAGTTACTGAGATGAGTTTTCATTGGAGGTATTCATCCTAGTCTATTTTACCAAACACTTATGAGAGATGCATTTCATTTATATGCTGATTTAATTCATCATATGGAGGCACATATACCAGCAAGTGAAGCCATCAAGGCTCAAAGGAAACAATTCGAGTACACTTCCTAAAAAGCATAAGAATGTACCTATAATGGATAATTCATCCTTGCAAAGACAAAAATAAGGGTACAATAATGCCTCCTCAACTCCCATTGCCATGAAAAGAGCCTCTATAAGAGAGGAATATACACCACTCAATGCATCTAGACCAAATGTACTTATGGCCATCCAAGATGAAGAAAATGTTAAGTGGCATAATACTTTGAAATTGAATATAAGAAATCAGGAGTAGTACTGCCATTTCCATAATAGTCGTTGACACACCAATGAACCTAGTAAGCAACTCAAGAATGAAATTGAAAGACTTGTCGACAAGGTTATATTTGACGTTTATTCAAAATCCACCGGCCCATAAGGATACTCCTCTTATTGGGGGTGACCTACACAAAGACAAATATAGAATAATCGTCAAATGATTGGTGAAATTAAAATTATAATCGGAGGCCTCTTGTTGCCTAACCAAATCTTATTTGCAGTAGATAAAGAACCAATGCCAAAGATGGCTCATACTAATCGCTCATTATGGGCATATCTATCACTATAAAATCATGTTCATATTTAGCGAGCATCAAATGCGCTTAAAGGGAAAGCTGGAACATGGTTCTATTCACCTCTTGTCATAACTATTCCCACATTCGTCAAGTTGGCCAAGGTGTTTGTCTAATATCTGGTCATGCCGTTCGGGCTCAAGAATGTTGGAGCCACATATCAGCATCTCATGATTAATATTTTCAAAAACTTTATTGGGCGCACTACGGAAGTATACATCAATGATATGTTAGTAAAAGTATTGAAAAATCACAACATATCTCTAAACCTGGAATAATGTTTCCATTTTATGCGACGTTACAATATGCGACTCAAACCCGTTAAGTGTATTTTTGGAGTCACTTTAGAAAAATTTTTGAATTTTATGGTTACTCACCGTGGAATTGAGGCAAATCTCAAAAAGATTAAGGCACTAAGATATATGGCGCCCCAAAGGAATATTAAGGAAGTTTGGAGACTAAATGGAAGGATTGTAGCGTTGTCTTGTTTCCTAGCACGCAATAAGGCTCAAATACAATTGATCAATAGTCAACAGTGGTTCAAAACATATTCAATCTTATTTGAACATAGTTCAAATTTGGTTGATCAATGATTGAAGGACTTTTGAACATTATTCAAAGCAAATTAAAACTTGTTTGAGTAACTTTCAACTTTTCCTCGGAATTGTTTCGGCCTTTTATTTAATTCTACATTCATATTTCTATCAAAATGACTTCATTAACTTGTTTTCATATAAATTGTATTTCTCATAAAAAAAAAACTATTTAATCACATACGATTAATATTTACATAAAAAATACATACCTATAGGTATACTGTATATGTATCAAATTTCGATTCATATATTGTTTGTGACAGCTTTTGCATTGCATTGCTTTTTATAATGGTGCCACACTTTCGTTTTGCAATTGTTTTTGTGTTGATTTTCAAAAATTTATGTGATGAGAAACTGTTTTTAACATTCCAAAATTATTGGAATGTGATTGTTATATGAAAATTACTGTTCAATTTAAAGAAAGAATTTCTTATACCCACCATAACTTAACAAATTTTCTTTTCTCACAACAGCTCTGCAACAATCAATATAAAAATTATAGACGCCTTAAACATATCCTTAATTACTTCATCAAAGCTTTCTAACCATCCTCTTAATCTTCTAAATTGTTGCTAGAAGAAATCTCACAGCGAAAAAAATTAAAATCATGATAATCCGAGATCCGAGTTTAACAAATTTATAGTCGAATTGAACACCAAAAAAACATAAAAAGTGATCTAATCTGTTGAGCATGTAAGTTCAAATGAGCTTATTCTCATATATAAAAACTCAAAATTTATTCTAATTTTATGATAATAATTAAGATAAATTTTGTTTGGGGAATAATAAGAGCACTTGGTTTATACTTAAAATAAGCACATTTATAGAGAAATGAAGAAAAACAAAAAAATTAGTTTAATTTTACATTTAGTAACTATAATAAGCTTAATAGTGAGAGCAGAGGGCGAAGCTACGGGACGGCCATGCTCACGTCGTCGACTAATGTCTTCTTATCTTTCAATGCTTTCTCCCGCCACCGTATATGCAGTGGTGGCCGCATTCGCCTTCGGCCTCTTATTTCCTTTCCCAGATTCTATTCCCAATTCTCTGGTCCAAATACCTCCGGAGGAACCCTTGATTATGACGCAGCAGCCTCGCCGGACGGCCACTTGATTGAAACCCCAATCACTGACGCCGCCGCCGTCGACTCTGCGATTTTTCGAACCCTTTCTTCTCGCCAGAAGGAACAAATATCTGTATTCGTTAGCGCTCTTCTTGAATGGAACGAGGCACATTTTTTCTGCGTGTTGTATTGTCCAAATGGTCTGCATCTATGGTCTTGCTTTGTAACTTTTCACGTTGGCTTCTGCAGCGGATGAATCTGACGTCGGAGAGGCAGGAGGGCGAGGTGATGGAGAGGCACGTGGAGGACTCCCTTGCCCTGCTTACCCCATTGCGTCGGTCATACCTTTCTAGGTGCTGTCCCTCTTCTTTTCCTTCTTGTGATGGGCTCAAACTGGTGGACGTTGGATCGGGCTCCGGCTTTCCGGGTTTGATTCTCGCTATTGCTTGCCCCAGTAAGTTTTTCTCTATGCCCTCTTGGCTTCCTTTGTAATTTGTTTCTTTAATCTCCTAGTGTACGTTTTTTTGCTAATGATATTCTTCTTGTTCTTAAGACTAGATAGGGAGTTGAAGGAAAATTTGAGTTATGGAGGTCAACCTTGGAGCCTAAAGGTTTTTATTTGAGTAGATCTAAAGCTGAATACTTGGAGTGCAATTTAAATAGTAATAATCTTTGTTTGAGTAGATCTAAAGACAAATACTTAGAGTGCAATTTAAATAGTAATAGATCTTGGGTCTATTGTTCAAAATGATGATGAAATAGATGGGGATGCTATAAGTAGAATTCTAGTTGGATGGTTGAAGCGGAGGAATGCATCGGGCCTCGTGTGATAGAAAAGTATCCTTCAAACTTAAGAAAAAAATTCTACTAGATGGTACTGAGACCTGCAATGCTTTATGGTGCAAAATTTTGGCCATTAAAAGAGAAGCTTAAAACTAAGTTAAATATTGCATAGATGAGAATGCTCAAGTGGATGAGTGACTTCACTCTTAGAAACAAAATACGAAACAAGTATATTCGTGAAAAGGTTGGAGTAGCTCTAGTGATAGATAAAATCATAGATGGTTTGCTCACATAAAAATTCGGCCTTCCGATGATCTAGTTAGTTGAGAAATATATTAGATTTGACTTATGTTAAGAAAGATAGAGGTAGACTTAAAATGGCTTGGTTAGAAAGAATTAAAAATAATACTTTTTATTAGATTTAAATTAGAATTTGGCTCTTAATAGGACACAGTGGAAAAAAATGATTAATGTAGTTGGCCCCATATAGTGGGATAAAGTTTTTTTGTTATTGTTTTTAACATAAAAATCTCATTCTATTGTACTACGTGTGTTTGGATTTCCTAAGCTAAGACACCATATTATTCTTACACTAGTATTTGCAGGAATTTCTTTAGTGGCACATCCATCATTCCAATCATATCAATGAATACTTTTATTTATTGTTTGGCATAGGCACAGTATCTGGTTTGTTCTATTAACTTGTATGATTTGTTGTACCACATCGACTAAGATCTCATTTGGTAATGCCTTTTAGCTTCTTCACTTTTTAAAAATATTTACGTTATCATAATTTTCCTTTGTGCGAGACACATTGACTAAGATCTGATTTAGTTAAGCTTTTCTTCTCTTTTTCTTTTTCGGAAAATTGTGGTCCTCATTATTTTTGATTTGTGCGGACAATAATGTAGCATTATATTGCATGTGCATCCACCTCACCATAAAGTGTATCCGCATTTGCAAAATAGCTTATTCATCTATCATAAGAATTTTTTTTTTCTGTACTAAACTGCAAGGCACTACAATACCAAACGATCCTAAATGAAGCGTGAGATGGTTTGGATGTTTGTATTTCCAGCATTCAAAAATAGGGATTCCAACCCTTTGCTAAAACTGACAAATTATCATGGATTTTCTATGGAAAGCTTTCCCACGGTACTAACTGTGTTATTTTTTATAGAGTTTTAATAACTTTTTTTCTCCAGCTTGGAATGTTACTCTACTAGAATCAATGCAGAAGCGTTGCTTTTTCCTGGAGCACGTTGTGAGGATTACTGGTCTCTCAAATGTCAAAGTGCTAAGAGAAAGAGCAGAGGTAAGTAAATCTCCTGATACATCATCAGGGTAGAAAATATATTATTTTCTTCTCCCACTATACCTACTTGCTTCCACTATCTTAGAATATCACAGAAAATGCAGTAAAATATTTCTCTTACAATTGTCTTAATGGTACTTATTCATAGAATGTAGTGATAGCTGCTATAGTGGATCATGCGACATTATCAGTGGATCAATTATTCTGCTCTACATTGATTGTAGATTTAGACGGCAGAAAGATTACAAGCTAATTGTTGGTTATCATTAAATTATCCCCAAAACCCTCATATATCATTTATGACATGATAGCTTAAGTTTGAACATACTGTAGAGTGTAGAGCTGCTGATCTAGGAAACGGTATTATGCACCAAATTATTATAGTCCATAATTGACGAAGATGGTTTACAGTAAAGAGTTATGATGTCGGCAGCCAAAGAAAAAAGATGGACATTGTGGTGAGAAACTAGGAGTAATATACAGATTATGATTGTTGTACGAAAAAATCCATGTACATTTATATAACTAAATCTAAACTGTGGCAGCAGAGTAATTTGCAATATATTTCTCACTTCTAAGAAGTTCCAAACTATTTGGGGCCTTGGGGGTTATCAAGGACTCCAATTGCCAACATGAATTATGCAAATGTGACAAGGAAATCTTGCTAGCCTCAAACAAACTTAAGTCCTGTGATTACCGGACCGATGAACATTAGTTTCGCCACGTGTACTTGAAGAAGATGAAGGGGATTGAATCTGTCGTTCGGAGTTGTGAAGAGATACAAATGAGTTGTCTATTTCGTTATCTGGTTATTTTAAATATAATTGTTACTTCAAGCAACCTTTGGAACTTGATTCATTACTAGCATGAATACCGCTTGTGTTCTTGTTGTGACTATCACAAAATTTTTGTTGGGATCTGTAGATTATTTTTAAAAAATTGAAATTGTAATATGGCTATATGGCAGAATGTAGGCCAAAGTCTTGATTTCAGAGAGCTGTTTGATGTTGCAGTTGCAAGAGCTGTTGCAGAGATGCGAATCCTAGGTTTGTGAAAGCTTAGATTTGATATGGAAATTTGCTAAATATAAGCAATCACTGTTCCTTCAATTTGCTTTTTTGTGTTTATCCAGCTGAATATTGCCTTCCATTGGTACGTGTTGGTGGTCTGTTCATCGCTGCAAAAGGCCATAATCCTCAGGTATTCATTTAAACATCTACGCCATACATTTCTCCACCATTAAGAGAGGCTATTCTAAAGTTTGATTTGTTGGATGACAAGTAAACGACAACATCAGTGGCATGGAATTCCATGCAAGCGTTACTTCTTGTAGCTTTCTAGGTAGTGATCAATTTGGCAACCACCTTTTTAATAGTTTTCATTGTGCAATTGGTTCCCCTGGGTTATCAGAAACTTTACAAACCGTAGTCCTTGTGTAGGCAACTGTTTCAGACTGAAACCTGTTTTGGCATATTTGATCGAAATCCTGCCAAAAAAAAGCACTTTGACATGCTAGAAGTTCTTGTTTGTTTGATGAACCCTTATTGGTATACTAATGGCTAGATGACCTCTGCTGGATTAGGCAAACATAATTGATATTCATTCTACGTCTTTTTTAGTTTAAAGATAAGTCTCAGTGGCATGCTTAATTTTGCAGATTGTTATTTCTTAACAATGTGAAGCTTAAAACGCTTTTATTTTCATATTATTTCTTATTTAATTTATGTTGTGGGTCGCATTTCCTTTTGCACATTCAAAATTCATGTGCTAGATTTTTTTTATAGCATAAACAATTTATCAGCTGATCATAATATGACTGGAGAAGTCTTGTACCAATTTGTATAATTTATTATTTCTGTGAAAAAGAAAACAATGTTTGCTAAATCTGTTTACTCATGATCATGCTATGCTTTATTGGCATTTTATCTTGTATGGTTTCTTGGGCAGGAAGAACTTAGAAATTCAGAGAAAGCAATCAAATTGATGGGAGGTTCCATGGTGGAATTGTGTACTGGTATGTGTGAATGTTTCCCTTACCATGAATGTTTATGTACACAGTTGCAATTTCCAAAAAATATGAAGTTTAATGTTCTGTAGGCAAAATCATGCATTCCAGACTTTAGAACTTTCTACAAAGATAACATAAGGTTGTCAATTTTCCGCATAATAGTCATTTACATATTTTAAATCAAATTGGTGATAAGATTGTATTTGGACAGTCGGGTTATTGTCTTGCGGATGTAGTTGCTATTCATGCAAACTGGTTATGTCTATTGTGATATAATAGTTTGTTTCCACCGGCCTAAGAAAAGGGGGAGGGGGGATCCATCATTATCATGGTCCGACTACTTTGCCAAGTGAATCAAAGTCAAGGCATTGATAAAGACAGTTGTTGTAATTATACATAATGCCATTTGGCTTGATATTGTCATTGACAAAGTGATAGGAAATACTTGATTTCAAGTATTTCCTAACCACCTTTGAAGCAATTCTCAATGAAAACCTGCTGTCCACAGCAGAAAATGACAGCAAAACAGTGGAAAATCACAGCAAATCGGAGAGAATAGTTGAGTGACAACTTGTATTTTACTAGTAGATGAAAGAAAAACAGTAAAGATACAAGGATCCTCTATTCGAGAGGAGGATCACACTCTCCCAATTCTCTAGATTGAAGATCTAGAGCCCTCGCACCTAAAAGAACAACCCGAGAATTTTTCTCCACAATACAAAACATGTCATGCCCTCATCTCCCTCTCATACTTAAAGCAAACAATTAATTAAAATACATAAAAAGACTAATTAGCCCCTGCCGCCCCCTCCATTTGAAAATTTAAAATCAATTTGAGTAGTGGGGCCCGCCCACTAGGCAGGATTAGGAGAGGTAGGCGGAAGATTTCCGCCTCCTGTAGAAATGCCGAGCTGGCCACTTGGCCGGCTGAGCCGGTTCACCCTGAACCGGCCTAACACAAAGGTCCTCAATCTTCAAATAAGATCTTGAAAGGCTTCTACCAACAATGATTTATCAATGGCTTGGTCGAGGAAGCAAATAAGCTAATCATGTACACTTTAAAGAAGGAGATTGATAGGCTTAAAGACTAGTGGTCATTATGAACACTTTAAAGGGGTTTGACATACTTAAACACTAGTGGGTTATGAACTCCTGATTGTACTTTGGGTGCTACATGCCACTTCTTCCATGTAAATTAGAGGCTTAAAATGTAGGTGGGTTAATGAAATCTTGAACATCGTTTGGTGCTTGCACACTTCCTTGGAAATTGGACAAACTCTATACATGCTCTTTCTAAGAATGGAGGCTCTGCTCCTTCTAAAATTCAGTTAAGTAGCCTCATAATACTATTAAGATCAACTACGCGAGTGTATGATGAGAAATGAAGGGCTTCATCCAGGAACCTTCGATCTCCATTATTCAACTTTTTTTTTTTTCATTTATTTTTATTTCATAGTTTAGCTTTGCTTGATAATATTTTACACCTATTTTATCTTGGTCCTTTCTCGTAGTTGAATATTGACTTATCCGGCTTAGAGAAGCAGCTATGATCATGTACACTTACAACTTTAGAAAGACAAAGTTCTTCTTGGCCTTATTACATCGTGATGTGCACCCACATCACAGATTGTCAGTATGCTAGGAAGTAGGAACTTTTCTATCGTAGGAGTCAATACACTCTGTTAGATTGCATGAGCTGATTTATCTCATTTCTCTAGATAATGTGAGATATCTATTTCCTTTCTATGGTGCTAACTTGGGTACATTTCCCTTAGTAAGCTTGAGTAGGTACATTGTCTACCCTACCAATAGTTGCGTATGTTTACTTCCATTTTGCCCAAGCAGAAAATACAAATGAAGTTAACATAACTCTCCAGTGTCCTCTGTGGGTACGAGTTGATAAACCCTTCAAGCTATTAGAAGTCAATGCATCCTCTACCAAGAAAGTATAAAGGCATTTACTCCCTATAGGGTGCTAGAAGCCACACATCCTTCTAAGCAAGTATGAGTAGATGTATCTTCAAACCTATCATGAGAGACATCCAATCCCCTCCTTGACGCCTAGGTGCCTACTTCATGAACATGGAGTTGGCTAAACCATCCTTCCTTATATGAGTCGAATAGTCGATACACTCTCCTTGCTAATCATAGTTGATTCATCCTTTTCTTAGATAATATTAGGCGTATGTTTCCTCATTAGGGTTCTAAAGCCAATACATTCTCTAAAGCTAGCAGGAGTTAATACAAAATTCTTTTTTCTGCTGTAAAAGATATCTATGTCGGTGTAGGTACTGCTGGTTCACCTACTCCATGAGCACGACTCAACTAAATCTTTCTCTCTAGGCATGAGTCGAAACACCCTCTGAGCTTGTAGTTTTTTTTTTTTGACCCTCTGAGCTTGTAGTTGGTTTATCCTTAGCCCAGGCAATCCCACACATCCATTTCCTCTAGGTTGCCGGAGTTGATGGTCTTAAGCTACATTCTCTACCCTAACATGATAAATGCTTGATTACTGCCCTATACATACATACCTCATAAGCTTGACAAAAGCTTCTTCTCTTGATATAAATTTATACAGCATCCTAGCTAGTGGAGCCGATATGTCATTTATTTTGATAGTGTGAGGATTTATTTTTTCTCTAGCTTGTTAAAGTTGATACATAGTCCCCCTTAAACTTAAGGAAAAATTCTATAAGATGGTGGTGAGACCTACAATGGTTTATGATGCCAAATGTTGGCCATTAAAAGAGAGCATAAAACAAAGTTAAGTGTTGCAGAGATGAGGATGCTTAGGTGGATGAGTGGCTTTACGTGAAACCTTCTAAAGCAACTCTCTCTAATCTTATCTTCCACTGGAGCTACTCCAACCTTTTCATGTATATGCTCATTTCGTATCCCATTTATAAATGAGAATTCGACTTTTAACATGACACCATGGCGAAAAAGGATTCATGTTGCCGACCCCACTTGATATTGTTGTTGTTGGTGATGGTGGTGATGTTAAAGTTGATACATCATCCCACTAGGCTACTAGCTTGTCTCGGCCTCCACTTTCTCTCCCTATCTCTTATGTCTCCACTCTAAAAGTCTTACACTCTGCCTCTCGCTCTTGACCCCGCTACCTCTCTATTTGCTCGCTGGGTTTCTCTTCTATTAGAAAAAACGGTTCTGTCATAATTTCTTATCTTTACGTTTCTATATATAACGTATGGTGGTGACATGAGGTTATGGTAACACGTAGCGGTAGTTTATTTTGGTTTTTGCCGATCTCAATGGACTGTTGTATTTTTATTTATTTTGCTGATATTTCTGTACCTTCTACACTTTATAAATATCTAAACGGTTTGTATATACCTGAATATATTATAGGAAAAGCTAATTTGAAGCTGTCTCTTTTTGTCCTCAGTGGAATCATATAGTCCTCTTGGTCAAAGAACTGCTATTATATGTTTTAAGGAGTTGTCGACCCCAAAGAAATATCCCCGGAATACAGGTATTCCCTCCAAATTTCCACTCTAATTTGATCCTATCCTACTTACTACTTCTCTGTCTCTGTCCCCTATCATTTAATTCTTTGATGAGATTGTACTAATTATAACATTTTTTTTCCCATCTCTATCAAATGTCGTAGTGATTGTGTTATGTATATTTCATCATTATTAATTAGTTGAATTAGTCATATTTATTCTAGTCCCTATGCTGTAATTTATTTAGTTTAGTCTTTCAGTATTTGTCTATCTATCCAAAATGAAATGTTTTTTTTTTATATAAATTTGTTTACCTTCCTCATACATGTATAAGATCCATTCCATTTGATTTTTAAAAAATAAATTACTAACTCATTTTTTATCAGTAATGGCTGTGAATTAGATTTTTTTCCCCATCCTTTTAACTTTCGTAATTGCATAAAAATTAGGACGATTGTGTCGTTGAGTCGATGCTTTGCCATCTGTAACTAATAAGGAGGCTTATTATTCGTAAAAGGGCTTCCTTACATCATTCACATCATTTTTTTGGGTTAGGCAATCCACGTTAAAATTATGAATTTATGGGCGGCGCATCAAATCCGAATGTTTTCGCGTTTTCATATCACAACTGAGCAAAATTTTGGCAATTTGAGTTTAAAAAATTTTAAATTTATTGAGATAAGTATATTTTAAATTTATTTTATTAATGATATTTAGTATATTTATTTTAAAATAAATTTAATAAATAATTTTGAGATCTATTGAAATCAAACTTTGATTAGAATATGAAAAGTAGCAGGCAAATGCATGTTGGTTCATGCGATGTGATTGTAGAAATTTTGGTAGCTTTCACACTGCTAATAGATATGAGATGGTCAATAGATGTTCTTCCGTGATTAAGCATGATGATTTTCTGCTTAATTATTCATTTTGAAATATTGTCGATGTTATTTTTAATATTATTTATTAATTTCATTAATTTGTCTATAAGTGAAGAGATACTCTATCTTCCTATCTTAATTCAAATACTTATGTGAAGGATAAAGTTGCTCTAGGGACACATAATATTAGTCCACTTAGATAGTTTGGTCTAATTTATGCTAAGAAAAATGTAAAAAAAGGCCGAGGTAGATTTAAATTGATTTTGTTAGAAAATATTAGAAATGATTTTTTTATCATGTTTAAATAAGAATTTGACTTTTAATCTAATATAATTGAGAAAAATGATTCCAATTAGTAGAATAGAGATCTGATGTTATTGTTGTTGTTATATATTTTTAAAAATAATTTTATTATCTAAATGTTTTAAAGATTTCTTTTGAATGAAAATATAGTGTCAGGTTTTATATGACTTGGATTAATTTAAAAATATACTTAACCAACTTGTCTAGCTTCATTTTGAACATTTGGTTTGATTGACTTAGCCATTTGCCTCAATCGAACAACATAAAATTTAGTTGTATGGTTTGGAATAGTTTAGGTTTAGTAGATATTATAGTTGAGTTTGCTCATACATAAACTTTTGATTGGTTGAATTTGATTAGAATTTGTTTGGTCAGTTTAATTCAATCACATTGCAGATCTAATCTTGCTTCAGTGAATCAAATCCATCTTTCGAGCAACTTAATTTTAAATTTGAGTTCGACCGTACACTGTTGAATCCTTGTAGTTTTGGAATTAATTTTAAATGTCTAGTTAATTTCAACTATCTTATATGTGTGTCTTCATTAAATCGTTACGATTTAATGTATTCCATTATAATTTTATGTATTTTTATATTAATATTTAAATTTTAATGTTTAAATTATATTATAATATATACATAAAATATTTATTTTAAATCTAATAAGATTAATTATATTTTTAATATGATTTAAAGATTATAATATTATATAAATAGATATAAATATTTAGATATTAGATGTATAGATTTAAATACACTTTCCTTTTTTTTTTTGAATATTCTAGATATTAAATTATTAATATATAGATTTTTTCTGAGTAAAAAAAAAAAAATCTAAACTTAGCCAGCGGACTTACTAACGGATGAAATTAATAAACAGCGATTCTCTGAGTGGCTGCGAGCCTGCGAACGTTGGCAGTCCGAAGGTAGCTCGACTCTTCTCGCCATGGCGCTCTTGCTCCATATCCAACACCACACCCTCGGCCATGGCTTCCATTATGCCCAGTCATGCTCCCCGCGGCGAGCTTTACCATGGAGCAAAATCGGACTTGTTCCTACTCGGAGACGACGATCATTTGCCACCTTGCCACACGCCACTTTTCGTTCTAGGACTCAGGTGATGCATCTCCGTCGTCGTCTAAAAACTCTTGGGCATATTCGATTGATGAGGCATTTTAGGGCAAATTGCTCTTTTTTGAATGCTATCACTTATAAATTTTCTGAACGATTGCTTTCTAAGGGGATGTTTGGTATACTATTTTAGCCAGGATTTAAGCAAGATTTATCTTATATTCAATCCAACTGTTGTTTTGGATTTTAAATCCTGTTGATTTTTAAAAAAATCCGTTTCAGCTTAGTTATTTTTATCAAATTTATTAGTATTTGTTAAGTCACATCATTCACAGGATTTAATAAATTCAAGGATTCATTCCGCATGGAAAAGTTAAATCTTGAAATGAATAGCCAGTGATGTTGCAAGATTTTAAAATTGCTAGACCAAATAGTTTTCTTGTTTTAATCCTCTCAAAAGCCAAATTTACTAAATTTTAATGTACGATCTTGTCAGTTTGATGAAGATTTCGGTGCTTTCTTATTTGTTCAGATTAATGGGAACTTGAACAGAAAAGAAAGATGTTTATTTTCAATTAAAGGATGCTTTTAGTTGTAGCTCGAAGTTAAGCGAGGTTTGCAGCTAATTAGGTACATGTCGGTGGACTTGTAGAGGATAATGGAGAGAATCTCAACATGTAATGAAGTAGGAGGTGCTGGAGGCTCTTCTTCTTATGAAGCTTTGAAGAAATTGGACCAGCTATGGTCTAACATATGCTCACCCTCACCAGGTATTTTTTTTCAGTTTTAATAGCTGTGGTTTTTAGTTAAAAATCAAGTATTTAGTTACTCTGCTTCTCAATTTCATATCCTTGATCAGCGTCTCTCTCATATTGCACCTAAAACGGTGATATGAACATTATTGAAATATGTAGACTCTAAAGTTAACTCATAAGAGAGCTGAAAAGATTAAGTTAACTAGGGGAGCTTACTTCATCCTTTTCTTAAGAAAGTATTGCAACGCATTAGGGCCAAGCTCTATATCAGCCATTCCCAGAATAAATGCCTGAAATGAGAACAATTGCAGAAGATATGTCCTATGAATTAAAGATTCATGACAGCAAGGATTTTTAATCTTCAAATCCCATCTTCACCAAGCAGTCATTATTTTTATAAAAGTGCTTAGCAGAATCGCTTAATAAGAATGGTCTAAAACGTAATATTTTTACAACTGTTACTATTGGCATCAAACTTAAATTGTTGAATAATAATTTCCATGTCAAATTCTTTTTCTATGGATTTTTTAAAATACATCTCTTTAATGTTAGCATCGCATTAAAAAAGGTGGTGGTGTAGTGGAAGTGGGAAATATGAAACCAAAGAGAAGATAGAGAAACCAAAAGCTCCAGAGAGGGAGGATGAACAAGCATATACCTAAGGAACTCCATACTCAAGCTTGTAGATAATCCGATTGCATCTTTGGATATATATATATATATATATATATATATATGATCTTCATATGATTTTTATTGAACATGTGAAGGCACATATCTTTATGTCTTTGACACATATATATATATATATGCCATCAATTTATTTTAACATAAAAATCACATCCATGGTAGATCTTCCTCGCATCAAATCAGATTGGTTCTCCAAAATTGATACTATGCATATGTTTTGTTACTTTCATAGTTTCATTGTATGATTTATAAAAATTTGATTACTCTATAGTTAGTACAATCTTGAACATTGTGATTGTTCTTAAATATTAGTATCAAAATATTTATTCTTAAATTATTTGACATTTTTTTCTATTTTTTAAACTTTTATTAATAAGATTTATTAACCAAATCACTATAATATTCCCCGAATTATCCAAATCTCAATAAATATTCCATATGGACATAAAACCTTACCTTTGTGCATCTTTTTCAGAGCCTACTTCACTTTGCTTTTTTGCATCAATGTTAATACAGCTACTACATTATTTGTTATGTTCTTTTAAAATAATTTCTTCTTTAAATTTCTCATTTAGTTATTTCTATTGGGGATATTTTTTTCTATCTTTACCCCCAATCAAAATCGTATTATCTTTATTTTTAATGTAACTAACATGATCAAAATCTCTAGATATCTTATTTTCTACCTTATGTATTTTATATATTTCAATTTCTCCTTCCTAATAGGCAAATAAAAAGAACATTATATCAATCATCAAAAGATGTAGCTTCTATTGCACTCGCCACTTTCTTTATAAGAATTTTAGCTTTCTTATAAATAGAATAATGATAAGATTTATCCTGAGTTTTTGTAGTGTTCACTTATGTTCTTGAGCATGTACGTGTCAAGGTGTAATTATAAAATTTAAGTCATTTATGATGATCCAGATATTTATATTTGCAGATAAAAGGGAAGTTTACGAAGTTATTTCTCGAATTTCTGGTCCATCTTCTTACAGTGAGGTGGATAAGAACAATTCCACATGCATATTCCATGTAGTAGTTTGTGGTGGCACTTTAGGCATTTTTATTGCCACCGCATTAGTTTCTAGAGGCTTACGTGTGGGCGTTGTGGAAAGGAACCAGCTTAAGGGGGTAAAAGTGTTCATATGCTATAACATATAGTAATTTGAACTTTGCTTTATCGTCACCCTTCTACTGAAGAATGTGTTTGGTTAATCAGAGGGAACAAGAGTGGAATATATCAGAGAAAGAGCTTATGGAACTTGTCCGCATTGGGATTTTAACTAAAGCAGACATTGAACAGATGTCCACATCTAAGTTCAATCCAGTAAGTTGCTGGACCTGCTTGTACGTCCTCTGTTTGAAAGTGTCCTGTAGCCGGCCTATTTAGTGCAACTAAGTTTGCAAAATTACAGTTCCTTTTATGTAAAATTACCTGATCTCTTCCTCTGTTTTCGTTACAGAACAGATGCGGTTTTGAGAAGAAAGGTGAAATTTGGGTTGAAGACATTCTGAACCTTGGTGTTTCGTAAGTTGAATAATTGTTTTTTATTTTATTTTTATGGTTCTACTTGTTCAGTTTGGCTTGAATGGATTGCATTATTCCAACAGTGGTTAGATGATCAAATTATTTTCTAACTTGCATAGAAACCTGACCCTCAGACTGGAGGGAATTGGACAATATCACTTGAGCAAGTACTTGCAGTTTATCCGTGGCTTGCTTTTGCTGGGTTACAGTGGAACATTTCTTATTTACTTCAAATTGGTTTAGGAAGAAGCTGAGACATAGCTTGGCCTATTGATATTAGGGTTTCGTAAGATTATTTAATTGCATGATGTTAGTTATTGTTAGCATGTCTCATAGTACTTGATATTCTTTAGACCTAGAAAAGGATTTGCGGAGTCTGCTTCAACATTCTTGTACTTATGCTGTATATTTCGTCCTCAATTAATTTTATCAGTAGATAACCGATTGGTGATTGGTGAAAAAAGCAAGAGCCAGACAACCATAAATTCATGAGATTTACTTCTTAAATGAACAGCATAAATAAATAGGAGAAAAAATACCCAAACTCTCTCTTTGAGCGTATCAAAGGCAGTAGGACCAATGATATACAACATAAAAAATAATTCTAGATTAACTTTAGAATGTTCTATATTTTTGTTTATTCAGGATTTATTTTATTTTATTCTTTAGATTATCTTGATTTAATTTAGATGATAGGATTTTTCTGAGTAATCTAAATATGAATTAGATTTGAATTCAAAGTTGATCTTATTTTGTAATCCTATTTTCTTAAATATATGTTGAATGGTTATTATTTGCATTATTGAATTATAAATGAATTGTTTTGAATGACTCCCTCCCCCCTTCTTTCCAAATTTATTGGTATTCTCTCCCCTCAATTTCTTTCTATCTCCTACCAATATTTCTTTATCATTTCACATTGCTATCGTAAATTTGTAACTGTGCTACAATGTCTGTTATACTATCTGATTTTCCAAGAAGATTTTGGTCTTATCTAATGAGCACAATCACGTGTTGGAGGGTATACATATAGCTTGACTAGGATGATATTTTTAACAGTATGATTTTGGAGATGTGTTAATTATTTTATTAATATGACAACTCATTGCTGATGGTTTGATTAATAATCACCACTGCCATAGGATTTAATTGTTCTTGGCAGCATGAGGGGCTTGCATCGTTTCAATTAAAATAATTACAAAACCTAGATTTTATTTATAACCTATTCCTCAACACGGTTTTGTGATGGAACTTAATTTTATTTAGATTTTGAGGGAATAGGTCTCAACTCTCAAGTAAGCTGGTTTAGGTTTTTTGGAAATATGTAAGAAAAAAACAAGGTGCACAAACATAGCCTTCATCAAGTACATTTGCCTTTGCCCTCTCCTTAGCTGTTAGCTTGCTCTTCATAAACTTGGGTTTAGTTTGCCAAGAGGGCATGATTTTCCTCTCAACTTTTCCTTTTCTGTCTTGATCGAGTGAGAACTATGGCATTTGAACAGTTCTCGGGAAAAATACAACAACGAAGAAATCACAAACTTAGGTATGCTGATGATGGTTGCTCCAGAAAACACAAACTTAGGTATGCTGATGATGGTCAGGAGCAAAGCCTCATAGACACCATTTGGAATGTTATAGTTGGTGGACAACATTCTTGTCCTTAAGGTTCAGAGCTTTCATTTTGATTCAATAACCACCTTGATGCCCAAGGCGAATGATGAACTGAATAAAATAAAGATGAGCAACAACACTTTTTAATTCTATTGAGGGGCTGTTTGGTTGCCTGAATTAGGAGTGTAAAGTAAAACAAATACAAGTATTTGTAAAATTTGGTTGTTTGGTTAATTTTGAGCGGAACAAAAGGAATCCCTCCGGAGCATTAGGCGTGTAAAACGAGGAGTGTTTTCCGCGAATTAGAAACCCGCTCATATTGAGCGGGTTATAAATTCCGTCGCGTCATTGCTGTTCGGCTTCATTTCTTCGCAGGAGAAGTATCGCAGGAGATGTAAGATTACACGAGAGCCTTCTTCGTCTCCTTCGTTCGTGTTCGACTTTGCTCCTTCGACGACGTTCCCTTTACCTGTCTAATCGGATGTTGCGACATTTTCTTCGGAAGTAAGGACGGGAGCTGGCAAGTTTCGATTTCCTTTGATTCGGAAGCCCAAGCCCAGTCGGCGGAAGATCTCTTCCCTCCCGTCTCTCTCCTTGTTCGCACGACCCAGAGAGAAGCCAGATCTCTCTCTCGCCAGATCTCTGTCGAGATCTCATTTCGCATAAACCTTACTTCATGCTTAACCTTCGTTGAGCAAGGCGCCAACTTGACGATGCCGGAGAAAGGCTGCTGCCCATCTCTCGTCGGACTGTTCGACAGCAACCCAATCTATCTTTGCCAACTTCTCTCCACTCTCATAACTCAGTAGCTAAAGCAGTACTACCTAGAAAGTTTTTAAAAGTTATAAGAAAAAATGCATAGATGGAGAAGAGTATTGACTTGGGTCGGTGATGCTAACGGTGGCGGTGCCGGCGAAATCGCAGGATCCGGGGGTGGCGCCGGATCTTTGGTAGAAGCTGTTGAAGGCGTAGGAAGTGTCACACCCCAGTTTGGCTCACCCTCTAACACCAACTAGAGTATAACAGAGGACTTCAACATATAAGAAGCATGTAATATGCCTTACTGAACATCAAACCTAATTAAAACAAATACAGAGCTCTACTAAAACTTTCGAAATTTACTTACATACAAAAAGGTTTATACAGCAATCCTTAAGATCTCCTCTAAGATCTCTTTGTACACCAAAACATATTTACACCAAAAACGAACGATCACCTCTTTCTCGCCTAGTGCCCTACGGGCTCCTTTCCCTTACCTGCAGTATAACCACAGCTAATGAGCTAGGGCTCAATGAAATACACCAACAATGTAAAGGAAATAATAATAACATATTAACCATTAAGAAATACATAACATTAGTGACTAAATAATAACATGGTTATAGCACCTTCCACATGGGGCACAAAAAAAACATAGTAGTACTTTTCATCTTACTAATTGTTCAACACCATTTTTTTTAACAAGTCAAATGATGGCTATAAGCTTTTGCACCTCTTTCAGCTTTTCAAATCAAGGTTGGGTCTAGCTTCCCAACTTTTAGAATTGAAGTTGTTTTCTCAATTCAGGGTTGGGTCTAAATTCCCAACTTCTAGAATTGAAAGTATAGGCTTACCTATTCAGGTCTTTCGCCTTTACTAGTGCGGGCTTATCCCCCAACATATGACTTATACTCTCTTTCATTTCAAGAACATTGTCATAATCATATCCAACGATTATATAAATTGAAATCAGTACATGTGTAATTCACATATGAAGCAATTGAACTAAAAAGAAAAAACATGCTATCATGAGAAAAGAAATCTTAAACATGATAAAATATCAAATTGAAATTTTATAAAATTGTTACTATTTCTTATGCATCGTTGGGTATCTCACCTCACTTGGGATTCGTTCTTCCTGTTTTCTTCTTCTTTTGTACACTACCTACAACATACAATTCTTTATTTGTGCTCGCAGGAAGTTGCTTCAAACTCCAGAGAATTTTCGCTGCTGGAAGGAGGGAAGAAATGGGATAATCGGGCTGCTTTAGACCATAGTGCTATATCTATATATATTATAATATTATTAATACCTCCACTAGCATATTCTCCTAATGCCAGCCGTAGGATTAAATCACACCGTTGCATGCATTGAAAGGGAACTAAGTGGAATGTTATAGTGGCTATAGTGGAAAACTGTACAGTAATTACTAACATAATTACTGTCTATTAAGCAATTTATAGTGAATTACTTAGCAGTAAATGATATCTGAATAGTAAATAAAACTAATATTTCAATATACTTCTATATATATCAATGTACTCAAAATTAACAGTAGAATTTAATGAAACAAGTTATCCTCTAGAGGAAGTTAACACTTACAATATTTTAAACATCTTGAGGGTATTACAGGAAGTGTGCGCCTTGAGGGAGTTGGAGAGGTAGCAGAGCCCATTTGGCTGTATGGGAAGACAATTCGTCGCACCGGCACCGCATGCATAATCCAAAGCCATTGAAGCGCCGCTGAGCTCGAGTTAGTCCGAGCTATGCACCACTGCGCAGCCTCACCGGCTATCGCTATCAACGTCGCCGATGAGAATATGATTGCCGTAGATAACGAAGTGGAGTGTCGAACCATCCTTAGTAGCTGTGATGAGAGAGACAGAGAAAGACGGAGAGAGGAGAGAAGCACTACTCTCCAATGAGAGGGCATGAATGTGAAGAGAATATGAGCTTTTTCCCTCTTCTTGCTGTTGTCTTTTCTTTTCTTTTCTTTAAGTTTTGTTTTGATTTGTAGAGGAAGTTTTTCATACAGCTGGTGAAAAACTTTTGTTGCAGCCTCAGAAAGATTCCTCTAAATTGGATTGGCTAAGCAGAAAGCAATTGTCAAAGGACAAAGTCAAAAATCTTAGGTTAAAAATTCCACAAAAAAGCAAGTTTCTGGCATTTCCAGTAATGTTTCTTCTAATGTTCTTGGAACGATTTCTTAGACGCGCACTTTGTTTTTTCCCTGCTTTAGAAAGTAGGTTTATAATATAAAAATTTAAAGTTCAAGAATTATTTGTGCTAAAAAGGTCTTTTAGAAAGCAATAAGAAAATTGTCTCAAACAAAATCTTAGTCAAACAAGAAATAAGAATAAGTTCAAAAACTATTTAGCAATAAGAAAATTGTGCTAAAAAGGTATACTAATAGATGAATGCATGAGTTTCCATAATTTCTTTCAAATTATTACAAAAAAACTGATTTTACGTTACTCTGGATCTACCTAACCAAACAAGAGAAACAGTTCTCCTGCGTTTATTTTGCAGACAACCAAACCGGTGCAAAGTATTCAGAATACACTACATTTACTTTACATTGCTTTACACTGCATTTCTTTTTCAGGCAACCAAACAGCCCCTGAATGAATTCTAGATCACAAAGAATTAAATCTTATATGCCTGTCAATGGTCTATGTGGTGAGTGTGATGACTTGTCAATGTAACCTATGTACAATTTAAATTATTATTTAATTCGCTAAAAATACATTAGAAATATGTGACGAGAGAAGATGTCAAATTAATTGTCAAATAATGTAAGCTATGGGCTTTGAAAGGCCCTTCTAGATTCCTAGTGATAATGCTATGAGGTATGATTTTTCATTTGGCACGTTAGCAGCATATTATTATAGCATTTTACATTTGTGTCGTTGCATTGCCATTTATTTCGTTGAAGGTATTTATGCTACTTTTATAGATTATGGCATGAGCCGTTTAAATACATTTGTATGAACAATTTGAATTCTGGGTTTTCATTTTGGTAAGATTATGCTACTAATTAAAGTTTGCATGTACTTTTGTACAACAGTTAAAAATTGCTTATGGTGGGATTGTTTTTCATATATTTTAGAACTTTGGTTGCAGACCAGCAAAATTATTGGAGACTATGAAGAAACGTTTTCTTTCCTTAGGTGGCATCGTGCTTGAGGGAAAAAGCTTGTCTAGCATACACATTTATGACGATGCTGCGGTATGTCAAATGCTATTTTGCATGATTTTTTTCTTGTAGATTCTATGCTAGCAATGCATTGTAACGACTATGGTCACTCATATAAAAATATTTATATCAACTATTAATCTTGAATATTACATGTAATATAGATACTTTTATGCTTCATGCATCGGATTTTTGTTTTTTATATATTTGAATGTTCGTCGTGGCATTTGAGTAAAAAACACTATACATTGATGTTGATCTCTATATCTATCCAAAAATTCAAATCGATTGAATGCGACGAAGATGGCAGATGCAAACGTAATTTTTCACAATATTATTTCAAGATACACTGCATATGTAGAAATCACTCAAACTTCTTATGTTCCACAATGTGGATTACATTGATGTGTTCAACGCATCAAATTACTAGAGAGAGACCCCATGATCAATTTGGTCAAATACAATAAAGGCAACAAATGACGAACATGATGTCATGCAAAAGTGCTACAATATTGCTTATTTTGCAAAATAAATTATGTCAGTGCATTCATAACATAAAAGATACCAATAAAAGGCAAGGCTTTGAAAACCGGACCGGACCGGCCTGTTCAACCGGTTGAACCGCGAACCGGCCGGCCACCCGGTTCCGGTCCAAGATAAAACCTGTTTCGCTGGAAACCAGCGTCGAACCGCTCGAACCGGCAGTCCGACCGCCGAACCGGAAAACCGGTTCCGGTTTTTGATAACCGGTCGGTTCGGCTGCTGTGCCGATTAGCCAAATCGAACTGCCGAGATTTCACGACGGGAAGCTTATGCGGTAAATAGGAAAAAAACCCTCATTTCATGACGGGAAGCTGCTCGGTCGCGAAGCAAGAGGCCAGAAGGAAAAAAAAACCTCATTCGCGACCTATCTTCTTCCACGACGGCATGCAGAGCGCCGAAACCAACACCGTCTCTGACTCTCCGTTTTTCGTTCTGCTCGGTCACGAAGCAAGAAGACAACATCGTCTCCTCGGTGTGCCTGATCGTTCACGAAGCCAAGGTCAAACATTGAATGATTCTGGTTTGTTTCAGAATCTGAAGGAGTTTTTGAGTTTTTCTTCTTTTTCTTTTTCGAAAAACAACTTCCTTGCTTTCGACTTTTTTTTTTACATGAAATCAAAAAATTGCTTTCAACTTTCATTATTCGTGTTCCCTTTGATTTACATTGCTTTTGACTTTCATTGACGATTTAGTGATTTACTACTAAGTTTTCTCATTTCTGATAAAGCCCCTTATTTGAAGAAGAAAAATAAAAAATGTGTACATGGCTAGTTGAAGGAGCATCTTGATCTATTTTAGGTTCTTTGTTTCCTGCATAAGGATAAGCACATGTATAAGCTTGAGCAAAGTCAATTAGTTGGTTTTTAAGATAAACTTGGATAAATCTCCAAAGCATGAACAATGTGCAGCACATTGTGGAAGCATAATAAATTAAAATATTAAATCCTCTGTTCGCAACTATCTTCCACTGTACCTTCCTTCCATGTAGTCTTAAATCATAAATTTTTACATGCTTAATTATTACCAAATGCTATTATATTTGATTCATATATGAAACTTGTTTGATCTTACAGATCTGTTATGTTTTTGGAGCGAAAATAGATGTGATTCTGCTTTTAGAAACTATTGGGTTTAGTATTATCTATGGTAATATAGTTTATATCCTTTAGATTTAAATGTTTGAATTTATTTGACTAACATTTCTCTATTAGATAAGTAAAAGTATTATAATTTTCTTCATTTTTTGCTATATATTTATAAATAGTTGTGTCATTATTATAATATTTAAATATAATAAATATTTATTACGTCATTCGGTTCGACCTCGGGCGAACCATCAAACCTCTAACCCCTCCTCCTTCCGGTTCGACCGGTCTGATTTTAAAAACCTTTATAAAAGGCCTCGTGCATCGCCAAATTGCTATGCCATGAAAATGATGGAAGTTGATATAAGAAAATAATAAATAATAAACAATAATTATTTTTATCCTATTCTACCTCATATCTCCCGCTTCGCGTGATCTCAGTCACATCTCTTATGGACTCCTTATTCTCCTTCATGGCCATTTTGCGCCATAGCAACATTCCAATCAGAACTATTGACCATAACTGTTGACCGACCCCCACGACTCAACCACCAAGCCGTCGACCCCACGTTCACTCAAACCACTCCTCACGATATCTAAATCCCTCTAACGAACCATTCAGAGGCTTACGCTCTCAGAACCGTAGGAAATTAGGGAAACTTACCATTATGTCTCTCGGTCGTCCTTATGCGCCTCCGACTCCAGCGATCATCCTGCCGGCCTTCTCCACCGCTTCTGTTCAACGACTCGACTCCAAACTTCTGACCCACTGCCAACCACGTGCACACGCCGACCTTTGTCCCTCTGCACTTGCCGAAGCCCGTCTAACCCTCCTCCAACTCCGACTAATCGCTACCTCCGTCCTGCCGGCTCTGCTGCCAAACCGACTTTTGCGTCCGACACTGAAGACGTCGTTGAGATGCCCTTCGCGCGATCGTGCCCTAGCCGCCATGTCTAGCTCTTCCTCACTCTATCTCTGCTATGTGTGTGTGTGTGTGTATATATATATATATATATATAAAAGAGACGAGAGATTTTTCAAACCAATCATCGACAACCAATTATCGACAATCGACAATCACCATCGACAACCAATAACCGACAATAATCGACAATTGTCAATTGGAACTTCAGAACGCGATTCTGGGACCCGTCGACATCCCGAAGCCCTCGGCCGTTGACTATCTTTCTGACTGGGTGGATTGAAAGGGCAAGTGCCCTCCTCAATCTCCCCGTGAGGGGAGGGGGCGCCGGAAGGTTGCCGGATTGTTGAGGGATTTAAAATATTTTTTTAAATAAAATCAAATATGTTAATTGACACATCGCGTTCAACAAGGACCTCCGAAGATCAATTATGAGACCCGACAACGTCTCGAAGCCCTCGGCCATTGACTAGCTTTCCGACTGGGTGGATTTGAAAGGGCAAGTGATCTCCCTACCTCCCCTCACCGGGAGGGGGCGTGAGGAGGCTGCTGAAATTTTGAACAAACAAAAAAATCCTCACATGATTAAATTAAAAATGATTTCTTTAAATAATGGTGATTGAATGATATATATTTAAAGTCAAATTTAAATCATGTAATTCACCAATCAAAATTATCTAGTGTATTAAATATCATCAAGTCATTCAACACAACATACAATACACTATGCTGAATAAAAGAATATAGATTAAAGATTAAATTTATAATTCAATGTGCAAAATAACGAATGATGATTATCCTTTCAATTGATAAGGTACATTTGGAATTCCCTAAGTGATCGTATGGATAGTCTTCTGATGCGGACATCGGCCAGAAGATCTGGCGCATCTATCACAGGAGGCGTCGTAAATCGACGGCTCCAATTTAAGTTGTCATTTATGAATTATTTTATGCATTTTAGTTTCTATTTTATGTTATTTCCTGTTTTACCCCTAGGTTAATTTATTTGAGTGTTGTAGCCCAAGGGGCAATTTTGTAATTTTTTATTTTCTCATGTTATGGCCTATATATATGGCCTTTAGCTATTGTAATAGGATGATGAATGAATATAAAAATTTTATGTTCCACACTTGTGTTCTTAAGAGAGGACGAGAGTGAGATTCCTATGGGAAGGAATCGAAGTTGTCACCAGTCGCAGGATGGGTCCGGGCTCGTGATTTGAGATCCCTTGGAGAGGGAAATCTTATCACCCACCAACCTTGGAGACGGCCGGGTTTGTGGTTTTATTCTTTTTCGTTATCTTTTCATTTTTCTCTTTGTATTTTCGTCTTCACTCACCACCCTCCTTATTCTTCTTCGTCACATCCAACTCCACCAAATTTCCCTCAACTTCCTCCACACACCAAGCTCCACTAAAATCACCCAAGCCACCGGCCACCTCTTCACCATCCCGCCGGCCACCTTTTCCCAACCCGCCGGCCCCCTCACCCCTCATTCTCCCTTGACCATGCCTCTTTCCAATTTGGGTTGGCAAAATCAAAAGGGAAAATTCATGACAATTTGGTATTTCAAATTTCAAATTTGAAATCTTTCCTAATTGGTGTTCCTCCCATCAATTCCCCAATTAAGACATTAATGACATCTTAATTTGAAATCAATCTTCAAATTAATTTCCCCCCATTTTCATTCAAATCCTGAAATTCATTTAACACACCGCCAAATACAAATCCCAGACATTCAAGGCTTCATCCCTGCTGCCTTCCCAGCTGAACACCAGTCAATCTTCAGCAATTAGAAGCCTAATAATTGATGTATTTACCACAGCAAATTGCTGTCCAGCAATTTCTGTTGTACGCCTTGTCATACAAACCTTTCTAAAGTAAAAAAAAAAAAGCAGTTGCTGTCCAGGGATTCCAGGAGTTTTGGAGCTTGCAACCTCTCTCCTACCAAGAGAAAATCTGAGATTCTTCTCAGGTTTTGAGCAAAGAAGTCAGACTTTCTTTCAGTTTTTGGAGAGGCTCAGGTTTTGAATAAAAACCTGAAGGAAATTTTCAGATTTTGTGAGACACTTGGAGTTGTCCATCATCCCTAGCAAAGCCTCCTTTTTTGTTCTACATCATCTTCCCATATAATATGGCTTTAAGATGAGACTTAGGTTTTGATATAAAAATAAAGGGGTATAATTGTGATAGCATAGCATAAGTGTCAATGATGCCACAAATTTAATGTCAAGGGAACCATAACAACTGTTGGAAGCTCATTGTAGATGTTTAGAGTAGTTACAATGAACACAAGATGAAGTTAACAATTTGATTTGGATATCAAACTTGTCAAGTCATTGTAAACACATCATTATTGAAATTTGCTTCTTAAGAGTCCCTGAAGGAATCTTTTTGGTTTAAGATGAATATAATGACTTTTGCTAACGAAATTGGAAATCTCATGTATTTTGGTAATGATGATCTTTGTAAAGTTTGGGAAT